CAAATTAATTGTTTGCCTGCTTATTTGAAAAATCATAAATTATTTTTAATCATAAATTAATTATTATAATAATTATTTTTCTCTTATTCTTTGCAAATATAAATTCTTGAATTCCTGCATTAATTGTTACATGCTATTTGAATTATGTGCCTTAATTGTTATTTGACATTTAGCATAATAAATATTAAACTACCTATTTCCTCCCTGATTTTCATAATAATTTGCTATTTGTCATTGTTTGCTTCATAATTAAACCATAATTATTGTATGCTTGTTGTCTTGTAATTTTATATTAATTGTTATATTTATTGGGAAAATTTCTTTTATAAGAATTGGTAAATAAAAATATTGGAGGAGCGGGTTGCACGCCGCAACATGATTAAATATAATGAATATATTGGAGGATCAGGTTGCACGCCGCAACAGACTTATTAAAAATCTATATTGGAGGATCGGGTTGCACGACGCAACAGACTTATTAAAAGTGAATATTGGAGGATCGGGTTGCACGCTGCTAATTTTAATATCGTATTCTTAGCCTCTGATGTATATAATTGTTAGTTTCCTTTTCTTTTACAAATACTTTCAATAATTGATTACCTAAAAGACATCACCAATGCATGCTAATTTTTTTCCTTTTTATTTTTAAAGAGTTTTGATTTAACTTTAGGTATAACTTTAGAAGTCATAATTATTAGTGGTAATGTTAATTTTAAAAATAATTTGATCTACATTCATACAATGCAAAATTGTAACTATAACTGATATTTAAACTTTAAATAAACAAATATACTTGGAACTTTGAAATAACTATAAATATGAAAAATTGTCCTTAGTGAACTTGATTTTGAAATTTCAAAATTGTTAGTGGGTATAACTTTAGAAGTCATAATTATTAGTGGTAATGTTAATTTTAAAAATAATTTGATCTACATTCATACAATGCAAAATTGTAACTATAACTGATATTTAAACTTTAAATAAACAAATATACTTGGAACTTTGAAATAACTATAAATATGAAAAATTGTCCTTAGTGAACTTGATTTTGAAATTTCAAAATTGTTAGTGGGTATAACTTTAGAAGTCATAATTATTAGTGGTAATGTTAATTTTAAAAATAATTTGATCTACATTCATACAATGCAAAATTGTAACTATAACTGATATTTAAACTTTAAATAAACAAATATACTTGGAACTTTGAAATAACTATAAATATGAAAAATTGTCCTTAGTGAACTTGATTTTGAAATTTCAAAATTGTTAGTGGCAGAGTTTATTCGGAATGAGTTTAAGGTAGTGTTAACTTTTATTTGGTCTTGGATGAACAAGTATAGAAGAAATTAAGACTTAGACCAATAAGAATCTAGCCAATGTTTTTGCATAAGAAGAGGTGCACTTATCGTATTTATAATTTTGATGACCTTTAAATGAACAAATAAGAATTCTATGTACTTAAGTTACAAAGAACAAATTTCACATGTTAAAAATAGGCATATAAATATTTAAATAAAAAAAATTAATTTTTATAGAAAAGAGCAGAACACGTACTTAAATTTTTAATATCTTTTGTTATATTTAAAATATTTCTAAATAAAATATTTATTTTAGAGTTGTAATAAAATAAAATTAGATTTTATTTTTGTATTGTCCTTATTTGTTACACCATGATTAGCATAATTTTTTTATACTTTATTTATACCAACTGGAAGCCTATGTGCTTAGTTTCATTATTTATACCAACTGAAGGCTTTATTTATTTTGAAGATATCGAATTCAACTGTTGTATTAATGTAATAATATTCATTTTGATCATTTGAACAAATATTTTTAGTTTAACATCAATTGTTATTTTTCAATAATTTATTCTTTTTGCACGTTTTTTTCCAATATCTGAGTCATACTATAAAAGTGTGGGAGAGGGTGGTTGAAGCGAGGGTGAGGATGTCGGTGTCTGTATCCGACAAACTGTTCGGGTTCATGCCTGTTCGTTCTACTACATAAGCTATACACCTTGTTAGGCGGTTGGTGGAACAATACAGAGATAGGAAGAAGGACCTGCACATTGTGTTTATTGACCTAGAGAAAGCATATGACAAGGTTCCTAGAGAAGTTCTCTGGAGATGCTTGGAGGCAATAGGTGTGTCGGTTCCTTACATTATTGCAATTAAGGACATGTATGATGGGGCTAAGACTCGGGTAAGGATAGTAGGAGGCGACTCTGAGCATTTTCCGGTTGTTATGGGGTTACACCAAGGCTCTTCGCTCAGTCCGTTCTTATTCGCCTTGGTGATGGACGTGTTAACACACCATATTCAAGGGGAGGTGCCATTGTGCATGTTATTCGCCGATGACATAGTTCTGATTGATGAGTCGCGAGCCAGTGTTAACGAGAGGGTGGAGGTTTGGAGACAAGCTCTTGAGTCTAAGGGTTTCAAGCTGAGCAGGACGAAGACAGAATACCTGGAGTGTAAGTTTAGCACTGAGCGGGGGGAAGTGGGCGTGGATGTGAGGCTTGACTCACATGTCATCCAAGTAGAGGTAGCTTCAAGTACCTTGGGTCGGTTATCCAGGGGTAGGGGAGATCGACGAGGATGTCACACACCATGTTGGGGTAAGATGGATGAAGTGCAGGTTAGCATCTGGAGTCCTGTGTGACAAGAGAATGCCACCGATACTCAAAGGTAAGTTCTATAAAGCGGTGGTTAGACCGGCCATGATGTACGAGACTGAGTGTTGGCCTGTTAAGAACTCACATATCTAGAAGATGAAAGTAGTAGAAATGAGGATGTTGAGGTGGATGTGCAGGCACACTAGGATGGATAAGATTAGGAATGATGATATTCGGGAGAAGGTGCGCGTGGTTCCCATTGATGACAAGATGCGGGAAGCGAGGCTCAGATGGTTCGGGCATGTGCAGAGGAGGAGCCCAGATGCTGCGGTAAGGAGGTGTGAGCGGTTGGTTGTGGAGGGCACGAGAAGAGGTAGAGGGCGGCCGAAGAAGTATTGGGGAGAGGTGATCAGGCAGGACATGGCGAGACTTCAGATTTCCGAGGACATGTCACTTAATAGGAAGATGTGGAGGTCGAGTATTAGGGTTGTAGGTTAGGAGGTAGTTGAGTCTTGCCTTACTTCGTACCGTTGTGAGACTAGTCTGGTAGGGTTTTGCTCTAAGCTAGCTAGTGGCAATGTCGTGTCTTACTATTTCGCTTTTCAGTGCCGGATCTATTTACTTGCTATCGCTTTTGCTTTGCATCTTTCTTCTGGATTCCATGTTCCTATTTTTCCTATGATTTCTGTGGTGATACTGATATTGTCTCTTTTTGTCTTTTTGTCCTCTTGAGCTGAGGGTCTTTCGGAAACAACCTCTCTGCCTCTTCGAGGTAGGGGTAAGGTCTGCCTACATACTACTCTCCCCAGACCCCACTAGTGGGATTTCACTGGGTTGTTGTTGTTGTTGTTTTCCAATATTTTGAACTTCTATTTTGCAATTCTTAGGTTTAGTCTAACATTAATTTTGACCGTTTTTCAACTTGAAAACACTATTAGACGTCATAAAAAGTAAAAGTAGAAAAAAATGTCGAACTAATTGGGAAAAAGTGCAAAATTAGACCACGAGTTACGTGGTGAAGCAAATGTCTACGTATTTGGCCCCCGTTTGGCCATAGAATCTGCCAAATTTTTTCCAAATCTTTTAGCAAATACCTAATTATGTATAGATTTTATTCGTATTTTGGCAAATTTTCAAATCCCAAAACCAACTCAAGAGCTATTTTTGGCCCAAACTTTTACTGTTTGGTTTTTAAATTTTTTTAAAAAATTGTCTTAAAAAAATATCTACCTTCGCCAAAGTTATTGTGCCAATCTGTGGCAATTTATCGCAAAGATAAAATTTGAAAGTAATTTGGTAAAATCTGCTAATGTTTGTATAAATTTTTTTCAGATTTATTTCGCTTGTTTTGTATGATTTTTCTTCAGAGTTGTTGGGTATTTTTGATAGTTTTTAAAAATTATGGGTATAAGTCATATTTCATGTTTTTTCAAAAAAAAAAAAGTGAAATATGTTTTGAAATATTATGTCCAAACAGATTATCATCTTCAAACCAAACTTCACCAAAATCAAATTTTTTAAAATAAATTTGGAAATGTATGGCTAAACGCTAACTTGGAAAATATTATAATTAGAAAAACAAAAAACCAACATATTCGCGCTTAAACCCTAAGCTCTGTTTGTATTCGAAAGGGTTAAGGTTTTTCCTCGAAGCTCAGAGTTGTTTCTTCAATCTAAAATTAAGATTTTGCTCGGCGTGCAGTATCAAAGTTTAAGGTACCCATTTGATAAGTGTTTATTTTTATCTTCTATTACCGAAATCTACCGCCTCCTAATCCCATTGGCTTCGTTTCTGAAAGTTTCTCAAAGATTCAATCTTTTTAATTGTATTTCGCAATCTTGGATAATTGGGCTAAAGCTTTATATTAGTTGGAGTAGTTGCTTTATGGGAATTTGCTACAGCATAATGTTGTTTAAGATTTCTGAATATGAAAAGAACAAAAGAAGTAGATCGAATTCTTTTGTGTTTTTCTAGGTTTGACATCGTTTTACTTATTGTAATGTATAGTAATGTTACTTTAAATACAATATTTGTTTTGATTGTTAATTAAAATTCTCGTATTGTTCCATAGTTACGTAACAATGAAATGTTCCATTTTATGTAATGACCTATTAGGTGTGGTCGTGTCGTTATCCTATTTTTAATTCTCATTTTGTCCTTAATATTATTGAATAATTATATTTTACCCTTTACTCTCCCCTTTTTTATAATAACTCTACCTTGTACTCTACTTTTGTTTTGTAATATTGTTAACTTATTTTTCAAATTGTTGGTACGTGACATTATGAACAGATGGGGAATGATACAATCTATCCAAATGTTGTATTAATCAAAACAATACAATATAATACCATACATTATGAAACAATATGTAACAACCATCCAAACAAGTTGTGAGTCCAAACAAGTTGTGAGTGCACATCGGCACATCTGTGTGGCTATTTGAATTTTGCTGGTCTTCTTCTTGCATGTTTGTCCCTCCCACATGCTTCTCTCTGTCCTTTGCCACCTCTTTGATTCACTTCTCAGTTATGTTGCGCAGACTCTACCGCCGCACCCGTGTCGGATCCTCCAAAAATGCACTACTTTTGGAGGATCCGACACGCACTAAGCCACCCACTTACATTTTCAGAGAATCCGAGCAACATAGCTTCTCAGTTCCGAGTTCTTTTTCTCAACCTAAATTTAAGCTTTTACTCGCAGCGCAGCATCAAGGATTTCAATGATTCGATTGTCTTGATTATGTTTTACAATCTTGGGTAATAAGGCTAAATTTTGTATTAGTTGGTTTTGGAATTGGTTGTATGTTGTTTCATTGATTCCTGAATCTGAAAAGAACTCGTGTTTTACTCTAGGTTTGACACTGAGTCTAAATTGGCACATCTATATGACTGTTTAAACTTTTCAAGTTTTCTTTTTGCTTGTATTGTTCTTGTTGGAAAAGGTAAAGTTTGCATTTTGCAATTATTTACTTTGGTGGAAGTATCAGTGACCTTATCATTGATTTTTAAAGTCATATGGGAGTTAACTATTTGAAGTCAGTGAGTAAAGAAATAAATGAAACAGTAGACTGTTTTAAATGGAACAATTAGAGAGTCCTTTTGAAATTTATGCTTATATTTGAAGTGATGCATTTTACCAATCAAATGATGTTTGGGGCCAAGCTGAAATTACTTCTAGTGGTTTGGGTATAAACTAAACATATCCACAATTTTCAACTGCTTTAAACCTCAGAATCGCACTATCCCTCCTTTGCACTAACGCGCTACTTTCCATCTCTTTCCGCAATGAACACCTATTGTTCGAAACCTTTTTTTTCCCAATGATTTTCAATGGCAAAACAAGAGTTGTGCTGAACTGTATTATAATGCTCTGTTTGCTCTCATTTCTCAAAAGGAAGTGTCGACGCTGATATGATAACTCCTTCTACACATAAAACCCCATTGATATGATATTTCCTTCTGATTTTACAAGTTAACATTTTTTTTATTCCTATGTTATAATAGCTGAAAATTGTGATGGTATACTAATTTGTGCAGTAAGGATAAGATTTTATTTAATTATGCCTATATGAGTTTCACAAAACATATTCTCAAGCTTGGATTAAAAAAGAGAGTCGTGGCTGATTTAAAAAAAAAGATAAAGGAAGAGAGTTGCGGTAGATTGATAACTAGTAAAAATATAGTCTCAAGTATGATGAACTCCTCTGAATATGGATACAGAAGCTTCATATATTCAAGCCTAACTAGTTTACGAATGAGGGGCAGTTGGTAGATCAATTGATTGATTTAGATAAATAATTGCAAAGAACCTGAGTTTTATATTGGGAGCATTGCTTGCTTGGATCTGCACTTTCTTCCACTTCGATTCTATCTGTGATTACTTTGTTTCCTCCAGTTTATGTTCCTTTGGCACTCTTTCATTCTTTCAAATGTTTGTGTACGTGAACCAAAGCTAGAAGCAGTGACTTTGACTAGTTGAACATTCGTTGTTGTTTCTTCCACTTCTCACTTCTTATGATTGTTTCTCTTTGTCTTTTTTGAATCCATAAACTTCATTATTTTCGAATTCTGGAAATTTGCAATTATTTTGAAATGATCCTCATTTGTTTAAACAGTCAATGGAACACGGTTCATTTGAAGATCCATCAAAAGCGACATTCTCGTTCACAGATGAGGACCATACGCTGGCAAATGCTGTCCGATTCACTCTAAATCAAGAGTTAGTAATTCCTCTCTTCCTTTTTCCTTTCTTTTTCATTGTGCAGTAATCACCGCAAGTACTATTTCATTTTGTATTTTTATTTACTGATATAAATAATACTATTGAATTATGCTTGAAGTTTAATACTCCACTGGTAAAATAGATGGCCTCTGTATCTCATTTTATTACATACCGCTGATCTTTGTTAATCTTGTCCCTTCCCTATTTTCTAAACAGTGGTTTTTGCGACAAGCTTCGGACATTGATTAACTGATATTTAATTCTTGCAGTCCCAGAGTAACATTCTGTGGTTACAGCATTCCACATCCCTCTGATGCTCGTGTAAACATAAGAGTTCAGACTACTGGTAAAGCTTAAATATTTCTCAAATGTATCCTTATCAACAATTTCTCTAACTTGTAAAAAAGAAAAGCGTAAATATTTCTCTAACTTACGCTTAACTGTTTTCTACCTTGTAATCCACAGTTTTCTAACTTGTGGATAGAGTTACCTGGTACCTATTGCTAGGGGTGTTCATGGTTCGGTTTGGATCGGTTTTTCCCTAAAAAGAAACCAAACCAAGTGAGTCTGTTCTTCAAATATTGGAACCAAACCAAACCATTTAAGTTCCGTTTTTTTATCGATTCGGTTTTTGTCGGTTATTTATCGGGTTTTTTCTTAAATATGAGACATACACTACCAAACACATATTCCGGCGAATACATTTTCAACATAACACTATCAAATCAATTGCTCTTTGAGTAATCTATCTTTTACCAAGATATATTGATAATAATTGAATCAAATACTGATGAATAATTTAATTACTCAATTAAAAATTGATTATTTTTAACATGAAATAAATTCTTGTACTTAGCAAAAGAAAACTACCAATTAAATTAGAATATAAAAGCAAAGAATTAGATTATTATAATAGCAAAGAACTAGACTAAAAATACAAATGACTAATATGTACCATAAAATTTTAGAAACTTTATATATATATATATATATATATATATATATAAAATGTATATATATAAAATGTATATGAACACCCTACCTGTTGCTGGTGGGAGGTGGCATGTATCCCGTGGAATTAGTCGAGGTGCGCACAAGCTAGCTCGAATAACATGGTTATCAAAAAAAAAAAAATATTTCTCTTGCGATAGGAATACAGGGGTAATCTTTTAGAGGTTGTCACTTCCCTCATGTGTTTGTCACCAGAGCTCCTGATGTGTTTTTTTCAATTTTTTTCTTATTCATTCCTTGTTGACGTCGGTGTCACATGAGCCTGGCCGACCCAAAGGGCACGATAGTCCAAGACGAGTATGGCCGTCATTTTTTTTTTTGCTGCTGCTTATTTATCATTCAAATTAACATCCGTTTTCCATACTAATGGACTGAGCATGGCCGTCATTTTTTTTTTTTTGCTTCTTATTTATCATTCAAATTGACATCCGTTTTCCATACTAATGTAACATGCTTGATATTTGCTAAAACTTTGGTCATAGACTTCTAAATGGCTTGTTCAGGATCATTCTTGTTAATCGATATTTTGTTGGTGTCACATTTTGTCCAGTTTGTTTTATTGGATAAATATCTTCTTGTTAGAGATCGCTTAACCTATATACATCATATGATACAACCGTCTGGAAATCCATTAAAACAATTTGCTCTTCCACATGTTTATACACTTGCATTCTGAGAAACGTTGTCGTTATCTGTTTGAGTTTTTCTGCAACTTTTGGTGGCTTATTTGGCAGGGGATCCAGCAAGGGAGGTATTGAACGATTCGTGTCAGGATCTAATGCTTATCTGCCAGCACGTTAGAGGCACATTTGATCAGGCTATTTCAAAGTTTAAAACCGAAAAAGGTTTGAGCCCTATGGATCTCAAGAAATGATTTTGACGTAACGTTTATTTAACCTTTTTATCCATGTAAAATTTTGTCACTTTTTGCAAACACAAGGAGACTTTTAAATGTGATTGCTCTATTTATTTTGTGCATATATGCACAAAAAGTTACTTTTTGCAGAATCATTTTATCCCGTAAAGATGTTACATCAGATTGTTAGCTATAATGCTTATGCTTTTGTTGCGCATCAGATTGTTAGCTATAATGCTTATGCTTTTGTTGCGCACAGTCAACTGTCAATTGGGTGGTCTTCTTATCTATGGCTGTGCAAATATCAGCAAGTTGAGGTTCAGATACATAAAGATTATACCTTTTTATATGCAAATATTAGTCTGCACATTGGTTGCGATGGATTACTACAAGCCTATACAGTACAAAGCAAAAAGATTCTGGTCAATGAAGCTTGCGTAGTGTCTCAGAAAATTTGGGGCCATCCTTTCTTTGCCAGTGGTTAAACAAATTAATTTCACATCTAAAGGTATATTTGAAACTAGGAGCAATTGATTTTTTGGCTCTTTACAAACTTGTTTTTAGTTTTATGATCCTATCTCTTTTTTTTTTTTACACATTAGAGATTTATTTTTACACGTAAGAGATCTGTCTTTTACATATAAGAAATCTAAAAATGTCATTTTTTTAAATTCAAAATTGTAAAGGGGCATGATGTACAAATAGCACTTGAGAACTATCATTCATATTCTATGTACCGAAAGTCCCAAAAATTTACACGGTTACTTGAAAAGTAATTGCAAGTCACTTTAGTAAGTAGTTGGTTGGTAAGTTGTAATAAATGAAAAAAAATATAATAGGTAAAATATGCATATAATATATCAGGAAAACTAGGCCAACAAAATCCCCCACGTTAATTTTTTGGGCTAATAATGCCTTCATTCTAAAAAAAATTACCCGATTACCAATCAATATAGGGATTAAAAACGGAAAAGATCTGTAAAAAACTGGAAACCCCACTCTAAACTTAGTTCTTCCAATAAAGGCGATTTGAGACCTGAGGGGATGATACGATCGAGTAAGGGTTAACAACACAAATTAAAGATCATCTCAAGTTATTTAGGTAATTTCTTCTTCCGTTTAATGGGTCTCTGACTCGAATAAAGGGATCAGTCAATTATTTTTGTAATTTTCTAGGGTTTTGTCATGTACTAATACTTTTGATTCTGAAGCTTAGTGTATAGTGTTTGCATGTGGGTCTGATACTCTTTTTGTTTGTTATCTTTGTTGTTTCCTTATGTGGTGTCAATTTGTGCCCTAGGTCCGCATATTTTATCATGGTGTGATAGGGTTGGGTTGTTGAAATTGACTCTTAAAGACATTATTTTTTGCTTTTCATTGTATTATATGGAGTAATTTATTGTGGTAGGGTTGAATTGTTGAAATCGACAGAAGCATGTGCTTTATCTCTTAAAGAGTGTGCTTTATTCTTTTCACTATATTATATGTAGTAATTTATTGTATGTTCAATCTTTTATTGTAAAAGTTCATAAATTATTCATGTGGTCCCTCTATGTTTTCTTATGTGTCTATATTATAGATATTTCAACATGGGGGACCATGAAGAGCCAATTTCAGGTCAATATCAGTGTGAGTTAGGTACTGATTGTGAATCTGATAGTGATAAAAGTTCAGATTATGGTTCAGATGCTAGTGAATATGATTTTGAAGAATTAGAGTTACTTAGGATGCAAAAGGGTAAAGAAGTTAATGATAAGCTTACTCACTACAAAGAACATGATAAGTCTATGATATTTAAGGACTTGGACGAGGCCAGAAAAGTCATGAACTCTATTGCAAATTCCAAACCACTGAAGCTTAGAAAAAAAATGATAAAATAAGAGTAAGGTATAGATGTGTAGTAGGCTTCCCTTTTGTATGCCTAATCTATGAAGATAAGAAGGGTCCTCGCTTTAAGATAAAACATTTAGACAAAATACAACTGTGAAGATGCATTTGAGAATCCTAGAGCCAAAACAAAAACTTTAGATCAATATTTCAGGAGTAAGGTGCAAAATAACCCCAAGTATAAGATAAAGGATATGAAACAAGATTTGAAAAATTAATTTTCATTGAATGTACATAACTCCACATTGAAAAGGCTAAGAGGATGGCACTTCAACAATTGGGAAGTTTTTTAGATGACAATAATAGATTAGAAGCATGTGCAAATGAGATTAGGGAGAGCAATCCTAGTAGTGATGTAGTTATCAATTTATCAAAAGATGCCATTGCTGAAGGCAAAAGAAGATTTCTTAGAATGTACATATGATTAAATACAATGAAGTTAGGGTTCAAACGAGGTTTGAGACAATTCATTGGACTAGACAGAACTTTTTTAAAGGTTCATTGCAAGGGGTAACTATTAGTGGCTGTTGCACAAGATTGTATGAATCATTTCTATCCCTTGACCTGGGCTGTAGTTGACAAGGAAAACACCTTGGCATGGACATGATTTCTGGAGCTGCTGAAACACTCACTGAATCTGAAAGATGGAACCAACATTACCTTTATGTCTGATATGCAAAAGGTACAAGTTATGATTTTGTTTAATGGACTATTCTAGTTATTTTTAGCCTTATCATATAGTTAATTCTGTTTAATTTTTTATGTGCAGGGTCTGTTGGAAGCAGTAAGAACTGTCCTCCCTCTCTCAAATCACAGGTTAGGTGTGAGGCATATTGAAGCCAACTAGAGTAATAGGATTAGAATTTCAGGAGAGATGAAAAAAATACTTATGGNTATAAGCATACACAAGTATTTTCATAATTTTTCATGATTTTTAAAGACTTTAAACCAATTTATTTCTGCATTTTTATTGTATAAATATCCAATAATTATCCTCCAAATTATTTTATGATGATTTAATCATCTAAACTTATCAGTGCATTTTTTATAATTACATTTGCATTTTAGGGCTAATTGCATATTTTTGCAATAATAGCCCATATTCATGTATAATTACATTATTTATGCAAAAAATAACTTTTTATATTTTATAATGTTAAGTTATTATTTTTAATCATTTTAGTACACAAATAATATTATTGTTATTCATTAATTACTTTTATAAATTACTTTTGCTAAAATGTTGGGTATTTAAAAACTAGCCCCACTTTAAACCTATTTTCGGACCAAATAATGGCCCAAAACACCTAATACACTAGCCCAAATCAATGACCAACTAATCCTAACCCGGTCGGTACCCGTTTCACACGACCCGCCCCACTCACTTTTTAATCATGGCCGTTGATCTCTCAAGATCAACAACCCTTATTATTTTCCTCCTTTTAATTACCCCTTTCACCCGTAACCCTAATCACTCCCCTTTGCCCACTGCCCTAATATTCTCTCATCTCCCTTCTCCCTCTTTGAAGAAACCTAAACCCGCCGCCCTAAATCTTCTCCTAATCCCACCTAATATGGGATTTCATGGCTATTACTTACCATACTTGGCCTCCTTCTGATACTGGCTACTTTCCTATAGTGCTTGCCTAAACATGGCAAGCAGATCTCATCAAAATTGAACCAAAATCGGTTCAAATCCCTGATTTTTGAATGTTATTCCGTCCATGTTCATCCTATGCCATGTGAGTCCGATTTTATTTATATTCTATTGATTCTTACTTACCCTAAAATTAGGGTTTACAGAATCGAACCAAAATTGGTTCAAATCTCTGATTTTAAGCGATGTTTACATCTATATTCATCTTATTTTGTGCAACGTTTGATTTTTTATTTTTAGATTCTGCTGAATTTTTGTACTTTCCCTAAAATTAGGGTTTTGAAATTTCTCTCTTTTCCTTACTGATTTCGATTGCATGTGGTGTTATTTCCTTTCTAGTGTTTTATTGATGGTTTTTCATGTTTATGTGTTCGATTTCTACACTATATAAACCCCTCCCTTCCCCCTTTGAAACAGATTTCAATCACCATTTTCCCACTAAAACAACTGAGGTTTCTACTCTGTATTTGTTTATTACTCTATTCTGTTTGGATCTTGGCCAGCTGAAAGCCAAGGCCATCGGATTTCTATTCTTCCCGACCTCTCTTGGGTGTGAGCACTACCCTGGGTTCTCGAAACCCTTCGAACTTGACACATTCGAGATTCTGGGTCCCTACTGCCGTTCTTTTCTTGTTTGTTGAACAATCACTGGTTAGTTTCTAACTTTTGCAATGTTTATCATGTTCTAATTAGCATGTTCTTCGAATTGCATGACCTAATATGTTCTCCTGACTCTTTTTCTATTTAGTTCTGCCTATAATTGCTAGCTTAATAATGTCTTTGTACTTAACTTAGTTAATTCAGACAGAATAAAGCATGCTTAGTGTAGTGTTGTTCTGATTACATGGTTTAATCCATGTTTCTTTGCCTAATTACGAACTTTCAGTGATTAATTGATGTTGTTAACCTGCCCCAACTTGTTTAAGACCTTTACTCTAAGTGTAGTATGCTCCTATGACTATGGTTGCCACTCTATGTGTTCTTGCCATGTCCAAATCTGCACCTCTAACAACTTGTTATCCATTAAACTTGACTGATACCCTCTATGATATCTAATCCTGTTTGTATTATACTGTGTAATCCTGAGTTTGGGTATAATCTGATCCTTTAAGTTCTAAATTGGTTGTATTAATTGGTTTTACTAGTCTAATGTCCTTGCCTGTTAACTTTGCAATCCCAGGCTCCTTGTTTCTTATCATATGTAACTCTGCCCCAATGTATTAGTTTGCTTCTCGAGTTCATGTTCATTATGTGATTATCTTAAAGTGTCTGCAAATGCTTTTCCAAACCCATTACTTTCTTACTATTTTCATTGGTTGTTTCCCTGTTATGAGTCTCTAATTCTTGGCCGGCTGAAAGACAAGGCCTCCTAAAACTTCTCTATTAACCTCCCTAGTGTGAGCACTTCTCGGGGTCCACTTTGAGACCCTTGTGAAATATCACACACTAGGGCCTAAGGTTCTTGGCCACTTTCTTCTTGACTGCTCAATTCTGTCCCTCTCTATGCCTACTGAATAAGCCAATTGGCTTGTGTAAATGACTGTTTTTCTGAATCTTTTGATCGACTATGGCTGTTGGGTATCATCCAAGTTCTCTTGTGGTTTCTGGGCTGTGTTGAAACCTGTATGGATGCAAAACTGAAGGCCTGGCTGGGCTGGGTACACTTTGGGCCTGTTTTAGGCCCATTATAGTTATTTGTATCATTTTTTTTGTATTGGGCCTGTAATAATTCTGTAATAACAATTGGGGTATTAGTAAAAATTAAAAAAATGGGTTTATTCTAATATTTGTGTGAACGGGTAGAAATCCTGCCTATAGGTGTTTAGTTTACTCAACATGTTCTGTTAGATAACCTGCCTATAGGACTTGAGTGTTTAATTCGTTTAACATATTCTTCTCCTATGTGTTTATTAGATACTATGCCTATAGGAAATAAAGTATCAATGACCAATCTTTCAATTTACATAACTGCACCATATTCATTAGATACTATGACTATAGGGCTATGTTAGCTTATGTTCTACAAAATCTGCATTTAGAAATCATGCCAATATGGTTTTAATTGGTTAATTCGCTGTTATACTGCCCATCTAGGAGACATGCCTATAGGAGCTAAGTATAAAAAATCAATTTCAATCGTTAATCGTTAGAAATCCTGCCTGTAGGGTAATACCACTCGCTTTTAAGTGTTAATATTGAACTTTCAACACTGTTTCGTTGCCACTATTAGAAAACATGCCTATAGGATCAAACTGAGTAATTCTGAAGATCTCTCGTGTTTATCACTGCCAAATACTGCGTAAGTCACCTAGATAGCCTGTCTCTAGGTTTCAACCGTTTATACTTATAATCAGTAGGCAGCTATGTAGTCGCTCAGAAATTATACTTTGCATAACTGCCCACATGATCAAAATCTAGAATCACATAGAAATCATGTCTACAGGATTTAATGATTTTAACTCGTCTTAATTCTGCAACTGTCAAACGCCAATTTGTGTGCGTGCATTTGTTGTCTAAGTGCAGAGGCTAGCTTGAGCCATTATCTGCTTTTATATGAAGTCCAACTTGCTTTTGTATGTCGCCTAGTTTTATCATTTTGAGCAACCTAAGTTAAGTCTAGGACCACCTAAAATAGAGGTCCAAATGCTTCCGGGACCATATGCATGGGACGGGTAGTGCATGCATAAGGTACGACTTAGAATCAATTAGTGCGCCTTAGGTAACAACTTAAAGATAGTAATTGTGTAGCAGGAGATGATAGTTTGTGCCCGCTGAATAATATGAGTAACACCCCATCTTGAGGGAGTTACGAAGTATTATTTATGTTGCACGGGGTGATCCTTTAGGCTAAAAAACTTAGGACCCCCCTCCCCCTACCTTGCCTTAAAATCAATTATTTTGTTTATTTGCCCAATTTTGTCTTTCTCTTTATTTGGACTAATTCATATAATTCGAGTTCGGCCGGGACCCACAGTTGTGGACCTCGAGAAATGCCTTACACCTTCTCCTCGAGGTAATTTGAGTCCTTACCCGATCTTTGGTGACGCAAACTGGTTAAACCAGAGTTATTCGCAAATAGGTGCCCTAACGCACCTCAAACCTGTTAGGTGGCGACTCTCTCTTTTAACACCCTTCCTTTAGAAAGAGTTGTCACGACGTCAAAGCCCGACTTTCGAGAGAAAGGAGGGGCGCGACAATGAGGAGGACTTTAAAGATCAATTAAAGAATCTTGGTGAATTGTCTATTGATGCTGCTAAGGAGTTGCTTAGGTATCCACCACAGAATTGATGCAGGTCATACTTTGATGCATTGTGCAAAAATCAGATGGTGGACAACAATTTTACAGAGTCCTTCAACTCTTGGATCTTAGAAGCAAGAAACAATCCTATCCTGAAGATGCATGAGGATATTAGAATCAAGATCATGAACAAATTAATAGAGAAGGAAGAAGAAGCTAGAACATGGGGAGGTGAGTTCAGTCCTAACTGCATGAAGTTGTATGTTGCTTATTTGAAGGTTGCCAACTTATGTACTGTTCATGTCAATGGTGAAACTGGCTATGAGATTTCTGAGGGTGATGATAGACATAGAGTGAACCTAGTAGAGAAGAAATGTACTTATAGATCCTAGCAGTTGACTAGCATCCTATGCCCCCATGCCATCATGGCACTAAAATACAAGAGAGAGGATCCAATGACTGAAATTAGTTGGTGGTACAACAAAGAAGCTTACCTAATGACATATAGGGCCAAGTTGATGCCTGTTAGAGGTGAAAAGTTCGGGAAAGTATTACCAGAACATGCTATGGAACCACCTCCACTTGCCAAAACTGTTGGAAGGCCAAAAGTCAAAAGAAATAGGGAGAAAGATGAGGCTAACAGGAGACAAGGAGAGTGGGCTGCATCAAGAAGGGGAACTATAATGACATGCATCATTTGTAGTGAACTGGACCACAATTCAAGGACATGCAAGGTACCTGCTTCTTAACTTATCTTTTCTTCTTATATAATTGTAGTTCTTTAAAAAAAAGTTTTTCTTTTTAATTATAGGTTGGTGCTGAAGGAAATGTTGAGGATGTTAGTTGTTCAACCCCTCAACCAACACAAGAAGGTGAACATGAAAGTGAATTTGTGTTCATGCCTACACCTAGAGTACCAAGACACCAAACAGAACCCTTCGGTGATGGTAGCGAGCATGAAAGTGACCCTACTTTAATGACTAAGATTATTTCTGAAGATCAAACAAGATTGTTGATGAGGCAGAATCAATTGATGTCAGCTGGGACAAGAGTGATCTCTTTAAGAGGAGATCATACTGGTGTCAGTTATCCCACTGATCTTCCTTACACACCTACTAAGTTCACTTGCAAAGGTAAAGACGCAGTAACTGAAAATCAATTGGAAGTGGCAAGACAAAAGAAAGTGGGAAAGTTGATCTTAGTTGTTGTAGGTAGTTGCAGGTCTTTAACTTTGTTGCTAGATATTTTTTTCCAACAACCAAAGCTGGTCAGTTTATCTTGGTTGTTGAAAATTGAAATGTTGGTTTTTGTCAATTAATGTGTTATGGCAAGACTAGTTTAATGTGTTTTGGTATTAGTTACTGCAAACTCTATGATGGCAGTAAAAATACTTTGGTTTTAGTAGTTGTAAAACTATATGACAACAGTTTATTTTATGTCCAACAGTTCTGGCAAAGACTTGTTTAATACATTCTGTATGCATGTAAACTTCAAACTCCTCTCTCATTGGTCGGACGGTCCAACTAAGAAACTTCACACAATTCAATCTTCTTCAGAAAGCATTCCTTCTTTACTTGAGTTTTATGAACTTTAACATAATTATGCATTTACTTCACGTTGCATGATTCAATTAGCAACAAATGGTTTGACGCTTGTATAGTTGTATATCCATTAGCAGTGATAAACACGACATCACTTTGGCATTCTTCTATAATAACATGTGACCAAATTGGTGTCATCGTAATTTTATTTCTTATGCAAGTAACAATCTAATTCCTACGGTGTCCAGTTGTGGCTTTGTTTGCGGAGACGATGATGTTTGTGGCCTGGTTCGTGGGCTGAATGGCTCCATGATTCAGATCGTGGAGCCGGACAAAACTTGCACAATTCTTTACTTCAGATGCCCTTTAAAATCGTAGAGTAGTTCGTGGAGACGATCAAGACCGTGGAGTTGGACAGACTTTTCTCCAAAGTTTCCCGACTTAGAACATTTTTCATGCACTTTTGCACCCCTAGTTTTGGCTCCACAATTGACCTTCGTGGAGAAATTGTTCTTCACTTTTCAATCTTCAATTTCTTCAATCTCTTCAATCTTATGCTCCAAATTCCATCTCAAATAAATATTAAAAATCACAAATCTGCCTAGATCTTGTTCTATCCACATTTCAATCCCAATCGGACTATCAATACATTAAATCATAACAATTAGATTTGAATATAAGTAGCACTCAATACCATAGATCCATAGCTACTGTATACAAAATGCACATAAAAATTTTCATCTTCCTCTATTACTTGAATGCAAATGCAAAAATCAAAACTTGAAGCTTCAAATCACAAGGAAGCAACCAAGTACTAAACAAAGTTACTATAACTAAATCAAAATACTACAACAACATACTAAACTAACATACATTCATGTCACGACCCAAATCGGAGGGCCGCGACTGGCACCTGGTGCCTTACTCAACAGATTACCAACGTAACGTATATTTCTTATCACACCATCATGGAAAAATGGGCCAGAAGGGCCGTCATGAGATAACCGGAATCACTGTCTAAACCTTTCGGAGTGACATAAGGTCGTTGCACCTTCGATTAATGCTATGGACATCATACCATCAATATGAACCTCAATAGGATTCAATCATCATACATATATGCTTAGAATAACTTTATAAGGAAAGAACAACATGGACAACCTTAGTTGCTAGGAGTAGATCCGTTATGAAATAGCGTATCATTTTACGTTCATTTCACTTTAGATCATGCCAAAAGAAAGAAGAAAGTGACTTAACATACCTTAACCCCATTGAATCCTTAGTACCTTCCAAGCAACTCTTCAAATAACTCAACTCAATCTACCATAGCATAAGGACACTCAAAATCAGTGCTGAGTAAAGGCTAAGTTTGTACTTAAGCTAGTAGCTCGTTTACGTAAATTCGGGTAGCATCTCCCCTGTAACAAGGGCCTCTTCCAATACCATATACCAACAACAACAGCCAGAGAAATACAATCAGCAATTCAAAAATAACCTAACTACAATGCAGGACCTTTAATACAGCAAAAAACCCAAATATATCATAACACACCCAATCAACAAGTTATCAATTAGCCTGAAATTGCAACGACGAGCAACTAGAACACTATCCTATCACATGTGGCATTTTTTCACGCACTTTAACCTTCCAAACTCCATAAATCAGCAGCACAATAGGCCAACATGAGTGGACTACAAAACAATCCACTAAAAGTGATATAAATTTAACTCACGGCTTTCTATTACCGTCCCGTGAGTTCTAACTATTAGGAAACTAATTTATCAGCTTTTATTGATATTTAAAAGCTTAAATACAGAAATTAGGCATTTCTCATATGACACACAATATGTATTGCTCAAAAAGCTTTAGTGACACACCTACTTGTCACCTATGCAGTCTGCGCAGTCTCGCGAAACTGCAAATATCTCTCTACTCTAATGTCGTATCGACGAACGGTTTAATTCGTTAGAAATTAGACTCGTATATCTTCCATTTTATATGTGTATCATCTTGTAATTCCAAGTATATTTGGATAAAACCTCCGCTACATTTGACCTAATATTCAACATATTATGAATATAACTTGTCATGACCTTTGCCAACTTTTGTTCCACAACTCGCTTGACTTCAAAATGTAATACAAGACTATCATACGACTAAAATAACTCATAACATAACCTCCTTATCATGTTAAGTACCCTAGTATCACCCCAAAAGTACATGTTATTACATTCCAAACTTGTCGACTTTCGACGAAACTTATTTTCTTCAATTTGTTTGGCTTCTAAGCCTTTAAACCCTCTTGGTACTTGTTATCCATGATCTTAAAGATTTATAATCTCTAAGGTAACATGATTAACTTAATTTATGTACTTTAAAAGATGATTTCATTTCTGATCTTACATCAATTAACTTACGACGTACTCTCACGTACGAAATCATGGGGTGTAAATTTTCACTTCATCATCCTTATAACTAAACCAAAATACTACAACAACATACATGTCATAAGCCTAAATTACCTTCGTAAAATGTCGTGATGGCACCTAGTACCTAAGACTAGGTAAGCCTAACAATATGCGAAAACATTAAATAAAACTTAAAATCTCAAAACTCCAACAATTTTATAAATAGAATCTATAAACACAATGCGTACAACTCCCCAAAACCTGGTGAAATATAAGTCACAAGCTCTAGATACAGTGTTGGACAACCCTATACATCACTGTCTATAAGAGTATAAAGAAATAAGGAAGAACATGATAAAAGGGGACTCCGAGGCCTGCGGACGCGGGCATGTGTACCTTGAAGTCTCCAATAGCAAGCTCAGCGCGCTAGTGCTGGGTCTCAAAAGATGTACCTGGATCTACACAAAAGCGTGTACAGAAGCATAGTATGAGTACACCACAATGGTACCCAGTAAGTGCCAAGCCTAACCTCGGTAGAGTAGTGACAAGTTCAGGTCAAGGCCTTACTGGAGATAATAAGAATTTACGAAAAGTTTACAATACGAAATCAAGGCATTTAATACAACACGAAGGAAAAAACAAGAATCTTACATGTTAAGGAAACAACAACCAAACAATTACAACAAATAGAGACGATCAAAAGGGGCCCCTACCAAGGTACCCCCTCGTAGTCCCAAATTATAAAAGTAACTCACAGTCTTTCCTTATATCACTGCGAGAGCCTTTACATTTAGTTTTGAAAATTATTTTCCCAAAATAGCACCCCACGTTTTAGCCCACCTATCACACCGTTTGGCTTTTAGTAGTTCCCCTACTAGCTACGCATATCAAGCCCACCTAATCTCACCGCATACGTTTCAACACCCAGATCTTATACCACTGCATGCGTACCAATAGTAACAACGACTCGATAGAAACCTCGTGCAAATAGTAACAACAACAGAACGACAGAAACCTCGTGCAAACAACCAAACAATCCTTTCAACAATAACACGAATGCAAAAAATATTACAACTCAATAGAATGATATTTCACAACTTACACTTTGCCTCAATAGAAACCACGGCCTTTGCAACTCAACACCAAACTCAACAGCAAGATATTTCAAGGATAGCGAATTTCAAGTAAAGAATACCACAATTAAATAATGAATACGGAATTAAAAAAATATGTAATTCAACTAAACATGTAGTACAAGTCGCAAATAAAATATGAGACAAGTAGACATGTGAAATTAGACTAAACATGGTGGCTATAACATGCTAAAGTAACTCAATTAAAACATGAAAAAGAAACTATATAGCTAAAACCGAAATCGCAACATTTAGCCCGTTACGCACTCGTCACCTTGCCTATACGGCCTCCACATATCACAATTGTCACAACAATACAAAATCCTAAGGGAAATTTTTCCCACATAAGGTTAGACAAGTCACTTACTTCAAACCACGCTAAATCAATCAACTAGGTCTTTCCCTAGATTTCCAACTCCGAACGGCTCGAATCTAGACAAAATAATTTCATACTATAAATATAACTATAGGAAGCTAATTTAAAAAATAAAATTATGATTTTAGCAAAGAATTAAAAATTCACTCCAAAAAGTAACCCCGGGCCCGTGGTTCGGAACCCAACCAAAATTACAAAAATCGAACACGCATTCGATATCGAATCCAACCATACAACAATTATTCAAATCCGACTTCATTTCGCCTTTCAAAACAAAAAAAATTAGCCTAAGAAGTTTTATCACTTTTCTCCAATTTTTCAACCCAAATCCCTAATTACATGATAAAATCAATGATAGATTAGTAGAATTTAATCAAAATCGAGTTAAGAACTCTTACCCAACAATCCCTCCGAAAATCCTTTGAAATATCGCCTCAAACCGAGCTCTCTAAGTCCAAATTGTGAAATATGAAATAAACTCTCGATTTCAAACTTAAGTTCTGCTCCCTAGTTATTCCTTTTTCGTGAACGCGGAATGCCTCGCGTTCGCGAAGCACAAAAATGTTGCTGCCCAAAATAACACTCCGCGATCACGGAAAACCTCATGTCGAACGTGTAACACTGCCTCATCAAGCTACCGTGATCGTGTAACACACCACGTGACCGTGATGAAGAAAAGTGCGTGAACCTGTAGCCCCCCAATTACTCTACGCGAACGCGACCTACACCACGCGTTCGCAATTCACTGGGAACCAACCTTCCGCGATCGCGTCCCTCTCTCTGCGAACGCATAGAGTAAAAACCATCAGTCTACAAAAAATCCTTCGCGATCGCGGACAAGACCTCGCGATCGCATAGAAGGAAACTAGATCCGTGAATAAACTAGAACTTCAGCTGTTCCTAAATGATCCGAAACGCGCCGAACATGGTCCGAATTACAACCGAGGCCTCCGGGACCTCAACCAAACATACCAATAAGTCCTAAAACA